GTTCAGGAACGCTTACTAATGCCAAACAAATTGACTGAAATTCATAAACCAAAATACGATAAATGGCCGGCCACCTAACGGCCGGCTTAATAACAAAAACAAAGTCCACATCCATTAACGAACTCCTAACAACAAAAGCCTTATTTTGTATGTACGCAAACGCCCAAGGCCTGCTAAGTAAGTTGGCCGAAGTTAGCGAAGTCCATGCCTCACAACCGCAGGTCCTCGTCATGATTACAGAGACCTGATTAAACCTTGAGATAACCGATTCTGAGATCCATTTACCCGGTACGTCGCTGCTTCGGACCGATAGAACCGGAAGGGGTGGCGGTGTAATTCTTTACTATAAAACAAACCTCCGATGTGAAGTTATCGATCACCTGGAAATCCGCGCTGCTGCTTCGCTTTGGTGCCACCTATGGTTGCGAAACCAGGACACTTGTCTACTAGCCGTGATTTACAGCCCACCAAACTCAACGTCGGAAATGGACTCCAAACTAAACCACATCTTTCAGTGTGCTTTGAACTAGTCCTGCATCCACATTCTTATCGATGGAGACTTTAACCTGCACCACCTAGAAACGCCAGCAACCGACAGTACGCAGTTTAAAGTCTGCTTGCAAGAGCTACTTGCTACCCACCCTCTATACAACCACGTAATCTCTCCCACCAAATTTCGAACTGCTAACAAGTCGTCGATACTGGATCTTGTGATCACTAACGAAGAACTCATGGTTGAGGTGATAGTTACAAGCACACCACTGAGTAGTAGTGACCATGTCACTCGTCTAGTTGACCACATATGGTATGCGGGTATCATGAAAAGGAGGATGATAAAATGCCTACTGTCACTCACTATAATGTGTTATCTACGTTGTTAAGGATAAATCTTGGATTTTCTTTACCGAATGCGCCCCAGATGTTGCCTGGGAAACTTTACAAGGACGTTTAGCACACTGATAGCGCAGGCATCGGAACAGAACTCCTTCCAACCCAAAACAAGCATAAGTCATTTCTGAGGAGCAGAACACGTAAATGTATGTCCCGGATGGATTTGGCATGGCAAGATCACAAGGACTGCTCGAATGCCGAAAACTTGACTGCATCCGTGGCACATCGTAACTTCTGTGTGAAACTGATTTACGAAGACAATATCACGCATCAGAAGGAGTTAATGAATCCTTTTTGCGCAAACAGCAAACTTCAGTACAGACACTTTAACGGCCTTCGAAAGGTGAATCTGGGGTTTCTAGCACTAGTCAGGGCTGATGGATCAGCAATGGAAGCAGCCGATCTCCTACGGCTTCATTACTCCCAAACATTCCAGCAGCTAACGAGCCCAAACATTCTCCTCGTTTCTGTTACTCCACCGTCGGGTTTAGACAACATCATCTTCACTGCGGAAGCTGAGTTGAAGAATTGTTATCTTTGCATATCCCTAGTTCTCCTGAAGTCGATAACATCCGACCAAAGGTTCTGCAGGCGGTAGCTAGTGATCTAGCAGAACCACTGGCTGTTTTCTATCAGCGACGTCTAGAAGAAAACCATATTTTACCAAGATGGAAGCGAGTGCTCATCACTCCTCTCCACAAAGGCGATAGTCGTACTGACCCTACCAACTACAGTCCAATAACATTACTTCCTGTACTATCCAAAGTGATGGAATCAATAACCGAAGATGCGCTGATGCAGTACCTAAACATAGCTTACGTCAAAAGAGTCCAGGTACTACTAACCTATTAATTGCACGTAATACCTGAACTGAACCTGTTTATGATAGAGCAGGTGTCGATGTCATTTACCTGGACTTCTCCAAAGCCTTTAATCGCTTAGACCGTCGAATTCTCCTTTAGAATCTTCGGAACTACGGCACTGGCAAACTAATCCTGAGTTGGATTGGCAATTATCTGCACGAATGACGGCTAGCAGTGAGAGTCCGTGAATCATTGGCCGATGCAATTGATGTGCTGTACCACAAGGCTCGGTGCCAGAACCTCGTGTATTCTTGGTGTTCATTAACGATTTGATTAGATCAATTGTTTCTGCTTTCCTATTTTTCGCTTTTGATATCAAGATAGGGCGAATAATCAGTGGACGAAACGACCACGAATGGCTCCAGTGTGATCTTAATACGGCCCCGAACTGGTCAGTTCAAAAGCCTTACTATTCAACGTAGACGAATATCGCGTTGTACAATTACGCCATAGACATAACTACACCTATTTGCTTGGGACAAACGGATTGCAGACCAGCTTCCAGAAACTTGACGTTGGTGTGCTCGTACAGAGCGACCTCAACTGTTCAAAACAGGCTTAGGTAGCTGCGGAAAGAGGCAACCAGTACGTCGGCATGCTGTGAAGGACATTCGGGAGATTTAACCCATCAATTTTCCCAATGATGCACAAGTTCTACGTGCGGCCGTATATTGGATTCGTTTTCCAAACTTGGCAACCTTGGCTGAAGCGCAACCTAAAGGTGTTAGAAGCACCACAACGAAGAGCAACAAAGAATGTAAAGGGCCTATGCTATCACTCTTACCACCGAAGGTTGCACTTGCTTGAAATTTTCAACGGACGCTATCGAAGGCTGCTCCGCGATCTCATGTTGACGTATCAGATATTGAACAAAGTATCACATCAGTATTGTATCGAACGAAGAATCGTAAACTTATGGAATACACTACCAGAAGGATTAATAGAGACAGATTCTGTGAAGTGTGTTAGAACCCGTATCGAGCATTATTTCGGAAACCTGTGCTTTTGTGAAGCGATGCACATACAATGCCAAAAGAAGACATCATATGCCCGGAAATAATGACACTAATACAAATCCCTATTTGAACAAGGATAAACGATTAACGGACCAGACACAGCTGCTGATGATTCACGACCAAATGCTTTTGCGTTTTCTTAATTTGATGGAGTTTTACAGAAACCTTTCTACTTGCTCTTAAATACAGTCTCAGTCTCAGAGTGACCCCAACCACGTATGCCGCCACTTGCTGAAACTAAGCCACAACCCGCAGTTCAGGGGTAAATGCTTAAAATTGAAGGAACAATATATCCGTCTAGTGTCGAGGTAATTACTTTCCTTTCGGGTTTGCCAACCCTGGAACGCACTCCCATACTCAGTTGTATCCTCCCCTAGGACCTTTTCAAAAACCGATTAGATGTTACTCTTAGCTCCCAACACTTTGTTACCTAAACTCCTCTGTTGTGGATTACGCCAAGCATGCTTATCTACATGATTTATTTACCAAATTGACCCACGTGGGCGACCATATTTTACTTTCTCACGCCTTATATCAACGACCACTGCACCCCAGTGTATTTCTGAATGTTTAGGCTCGATTTTTTTAATTTTACCCTGATGTTATGTAACAAAGTATTCATCTCGGCAGACGTTCGGTAGATGGCCCACATATATTTTGATTTCATCGTATTCACCCCAACCATCCTACCGGACGTGTCAGGCACTTGGTTTTATCCCTTGATAAATCATTGTTCATTGTTCATTACTCACGGTGGACTACCATAGTGCTTATTTTGTGGACTATTTACTAGCGATTTTAACCACAGAAGCAGTAACCAACAGGCTCAGATGTCAATTTGCCCGGCACGGAATAACCGAAAGGCTGGTCTCCGGCAATGGTCCCCGTTTATCAAAGCTGCTTTTCAGGCCTTCGTGCACCGTCAAACCAGCCCATGTCACAACCAATTGAAGGGAAATGCGGAGTCAGCACTGAATCAGGTTAAGGGACTGTTATCAAAAGCTAGAGCTACTGAGGAAAACCCGTACTTCATCTTACAGGATAATCACAACACCCCTTCAACGGGTATCTTTCTGAGCCCAGCGCAGTACCTATACAACCGAAGGACTAGAACTCTGATGCCAGCATCTGTCACACCGCTGCGCCCAGTTTTGCCATTTCAGGAGAGACTACAGAAAAGTCTGAGAAGGAATGACCACTCAGAAACGGTACTATGACCGCGGTGCACGGGCATTACCTGAAAAAATAGGCGAGGAAGTGTAGGTTCAAGCAGTACCCGATGGTCAGAGGCGGGGGAAGAAAGGTGTGGTGACTGCGAACGTCGGTGAAAAATCATACGAAATAACTGTTGGAGGAAAAATGCGCAGAAGAATTCGAGTGAAGCTGAGATCATGCGGAAGTCATCAATGTAGTATAGAAGGGAGCGTCCTATGGCGTGGAGTAAGGAAAGTACGACCACAGATACATCAAACACGGTGTGGAGTAACAAAGTGTACGGAATGCCTATCAATGCGAAGGCACATGGAAACGAAAAGAGTGAGGATGTGATGGGAATGTCAGATCAGAGTAAGCGGATGGACCAAACTAGCGATGTCGGCAACCACTGGGATATGAACGTAACGGATTCGATTACTAGGCACGGATTCACCGCTATTCGTGTGAGTTACTCACTGTTTGTTCAACTGAGTTATCGAAGGAATATTATCGACTGATAAGGATCGTCAGGTATGGACATGAATGGGCAATATATATCGAGGAGTGGTTTGTCGAGCACGCCGTAAATTTTTCTCAGTTGACTTTACCGAATAAACGCTTGTTGCGGAACGACTGGGTTCTGCACTATAGATCAGTTACAATACCTGGCACACCTCGTGTTCACCGATAGATGAACAGTATAAACTAACCGTATGCTTGCCTACATTCCTACACATTATTGTTAAGCGGGCTTGTCAACACGTTCATGCGAGCAGCTTATTAAGACTAACAAAAAGAGACCTAGTGCATTGACAAGCACATTTGCAATCTCTTCACCTGCACCCAGTTCCCCGCAGCAGACCCGTCAACTATAGGCATTCTTATCGACAACGATCTGTCCTTTCATTGCACAACCAAAGCTTTTAAAACAAAGTACCAGCTCCTATCCTTCAGTTGCGTCACGAATGAGGCTATGCAATTTGCTGGCTACCGCAATTTACTGTTCCGCAGTCTCATTCGAGATCACACTCTTCACTTACCGGTCCGAATCTGCTTCCAACTGACACGGTACTGCGTATGCCAACATGTTTCGATCGCAATGTTCCTTTGAGTAGTCCGCAATCAATAGATAATCTGCTACCAGCCCTGCACCCGCACTTCCATTTCTGTTCGGTCTGTAACCATTTATCTGGTAGCAATACTATAATAGGACAAAGATTGCAAGTATTGTATGAATGCTTGGCAGTTCACTTTCATATCAAGACAATCAATATGTCGCAACAGTTGAGTGTATTCGATCAAGGACTGCAGTTGTAGTAGTTAACCCTTGACGCGACTCTATGCAAATTACCTTATTTCATCAATAAAAGGAAAGCTCAGTTGGACTAGGAATGTATAGCCGTAGCAAAAGTGTAATATTGCGCATAATGGCACACCGGATGAGACGTATTCGTGTTTTTTAAAAGTAAAACTGCAATATTGAACATCATGTTTGGGTCAAATATAAACACACGACTTATGTCTTTATGTTAGACCCAAAAGGTACTACAGCAACACTGATCAGTCAAATTCCTGACAGAACATTTATCAGATTCACACACTTCAGGTACTGGCATCCTCAAACTTAACAGTTTTGCATAGTATAGTCGTACAATATTGATCAGCTAACTGGCGAAACGCGGGCTAAATAAAAACCCATACATTCACATGTCAGTCTATTCACGTGATATGCCATTGAGTATCGCCGCTGCCTTAGTGGCAGATGGCAAATTCTTGTCATGTCGTCTTGTGTAGTTATCCGCATTTAAATTAATTTATCGAATAATGTAACTGTTCTGGGTTTACACAGTTGTATCGCATTAAGTAATTAGTACAGCGTCTAGTCATGATAATAAAAATAGCTGACATATTGTTACCCTTTTACCAATTATTGGTATAATTACGGGAACGTAGCAGAGGGCTACAACGTAAAATTGCATCCCCATATCGGCTACATGAACTGGCTCCTAGTGTTTGCGGTGAGCAAATCCACAGATACTGCGATTTCTAGATAAATGAAAATGGGATATCATTTGTCAACTACCCAAATGCGTTACGAATGTCTGCCGTCTAACTGTACATAAGCTGCATTTCAGCGAATCTGCTACACTTACCTCTACCGTTGGCCACTCTGTTTGGGTAGTCGCTGCTACCGAGTTTGTCTGTAGCAGCCATTCCCAAGCTGAACGTTATCGTATACCAGTGAAGATTTTAGTCATGTTGTGTAGGAAGACAGTGAGATAGCATTACTCCCTATAAAAAGCTTTAAAATAAGTTTGTTGGCGAACTATGAACACTAAGGTCAGTATAAAAAATTTATTGTCACGAAAATGTTTTGGGACGGACATTTATTGGAGAGATCAAAGTCAAACTTAAGGATGTCAACGAGATTTTTGTTTGCAAAATCGACTACCTTAGTTTCGTATTGAATTTTGGATCATTTAAAAACATAATTAATTACTTTTCCGTTGCCCTGTTTAGTTGCTCGTGTTCTCAGCACGAATACAAGATGTTGTATCGGATAATTTGCACTGGCCGGTCACATTAATAGAACAGAATATAGCAAGTTGTTGTGGAGTTCTCCGAGCTGGGCAACTTGGTTCCAGACGTTCCGCCACCATTCGAGGTGGCATCTTCAGTGCGAGATTGATGGCAGTGAAGTAGCAGTAGCTGGTAGAAAGCAAAACCAATAACGGATGCTGTCAGCAGCCACTCCGTTCCTTATATAGGCATCCGGGGCTATTAATTTTGCCTCGTTCTCATTGGTGAATCCTTGTGTTCAGCGGTTGTGCTCGAGTCATTGTCATTGGCTGCGGAAATGTTGTTGCGACGTGGTTGGGAGGATCGCACCCGGATTGGTGCAACGGGTGTGAGTGCGTAGTCTGGGCTCATGCTGGACCATGCTGTTCATTGTCCTTGTGTTGGATTAGGTTCTTTCGGACAACGGTTTTTGATCCTCTTGAACTCTTTCTGTCTCAGCGGTTGATATATTGGATCGATCCAATATATCAACCGTTGAGACAGAGAGATTTCAAGTGGATCAAAAACCGTTGTCCGAAAGAACCTAATCCAACACAAGGACAATGAACAGCATGGTCCAGCATGAGCCCAGACTACGCACTCACACCCGTTGCACCAATCCGGGTGCGATCCTCCCAACCACGTCGCAACAACATTTCCGCAGCCAATGACAATGACTCGAGCACAACCGCTGAACACAAGGATTCACCAATGAGAACGAGGCAAAATTAATAGCCCCGGATGCCTATATAAGGAACGGAGTGGCTGCTGACAGCATCCGTTATTGGTTTTGCTTTCTACCAGCTACTGCTACTTCACTGCCATCAATCTCGCACTGAAGATGCCACCTCGAATGGTGGCGGAACGTCTGGAACCAAGTTGCCCAGCTCGGAGAACTCCACAACAATTGAGCAGGCCTCCCGAGCTACCAATATTCCAAATCATTTCGAGAATATAGCAAGTTTTTGTGACCATCTAGTTTATTTTCAGGTTTAGATGTATTTCACTGTTTAATAGTAGCTATTACACACGAAACAGAGCGGGCTAATTCTTATTCCTTGTGTTGTAGTTAACATACATTCTGAGTGCTGTACAGCCGCACTTTATCTCGGCTCTCGCTGCAATCGTTTTGGTCATTCCAGTTCTCCACACAGATGCTTGTGCTTGAGCACTTTCGAAACAGTTCGACTAGCGCAACTCAGTGCTTTCCATCTCTTGGATCTAACTTGTGTTGATCATACTGATTGCGTCTCAGACGCAACGACAACTGTTACTTGGTAGTCGTATATCACTACCTATCGCCCACTCCAGAGATGGATTCTCATCTAATATCATCACTGACGAAGTGCTTACTCCCAACTTACAGCCGCGTTCTTACCTTCAGCTATTTTAACGTATACCGCAGCAAAACATACAACACGGAATTACACGACCTTATCGCCAGTATCCGGCTCTATAAACAAATCACCTTACCTACCGGGTTCAAAGCTGAAAACAAACCATCGGTGCTTGACCTCTTACTTACCATTGAGGAACTTTTGATTGACAGGCCATTTGTAGACACCCAATTAGGGCTAAGCGATCATGTCACCATACTTTATAACTGTTTGTTACGCTGAATATCCGGAGGAACTCACAGAACTATCGCGTGACATCACACATTACAACATCTTGAACGAACTAGTTGAAACGACCGATTGGGAATTCTTGAAAGGTGGCTCGCTTGACAGCGCCTGGATGCAGTTGGATGGATGTTTCAGCAATCTACTGGCAACTGCTTCAGAAACGAAATGTATTCGTTCCACCAATCCATTGTCTTTCAGCAGACGCAGAACCCGCAAGCGTATTTCAATAAGAAATGCAGCTTGGCACACTTACAGAACTGGTCCTAGTCCCGAAACCTGGAGCGATTACGTGACCTGGTGAAACTATAATTGCAGGCTTTTCCGTGCGGACAAATTGACTCACCAACAACAATTGGTCTGTAAATTTGCAAACAATAAAAGCTCCTATACCAGCATGTTAACGCCATCCGTATAGTGAAACGCGATATCTCCCCTGTTTAACACACTAGTCGAAGTGGCACACAGTACTGAAGAAGCAGCCAACGCCCTACGGATGCAGTATGCTCCTATCATTTAATGAGACATCCGCCCCTTTTACATACCCATATTTCTAGCCCCAACTTCAACACTCACTAACATCGATTTTACTGCAGCATATGTTGAAGAAACTGCTCTCACTGCACAACTACAATTCTCCAGGAATCGAGTGTGTTCACACGTTGGCGCTGGACTTAGTACAAACAACGCTGGTTAGGCCATTATTGCCTTTTTCCCTCAAGTTCTTGGATAAGCAAATTGTGCCTGCCATGTGGAAACGAGTTGATCATTCTAATTGTCAAAAGCAGTAATAGCTCGGAACCTGCCAACTTTTGCCAGGTAGTCCTTCTTCCTGTACTCTCAAAGATGATCGAAACAATCATGGCTGAGGCTTTAGTATACTATCTAGAAAGCTATAACATCATGGCAACCGAGCAACACGGTTTCCGCCAGCACAGTTCATGCACTACCAACCTACTGATTGTACGCAGTAGTTAAACGGAAGCGGCGGATGAAGGTAGAGAGACAGAGGTCATTTACCTCGACTTCTACAAAGTCTTCGAGGGACTGGACCCCCCCATTCTGCTTCACAGTTCCGAAAGCTGTGGAGTTGGTGATCCTGTCCTTGGTTGGATCGGGAATTTCCTGTAGGATCGGCAACTGCAGGTCAGCCTACCAAGTGCGCTTTCCGATCCGCTTCATGTCGAATGTGGCGTTTCACAATGATCAGTTCTGGGCAGCGTCTGTTTTTTATTTGCATTAAGGAGGTTACGCGTCAGAATGCCTCATATTTCCGGCTGTTCGCTGATTATGATAAGATATGGCAGACGACTGCCGACCCAACAGATCAGGATGCACTTCAGCGAGAACTGGACAGAGGGTACCAGTGGTCACTCCACGATCTGCTCCAGTTCAATTCGGGGAAGTGTAATGTGGTTCACATTCGCCACCTGCCGAACCTGACATGCAAGCTTGGGGATCGTGTCCTGCACTCACTCACCCAGGAGCGCTCCCTTGGGGTATTAGTCCAGGCTGATCTGGGCTGCTCAGAACAATCTGAGAAGGTGTCAAAGACCAGGAACCAACTTGTTGGCATGCTGCGGAGGGCATTCGGGCTGTTTAATCCCACTGTCTGTTCGCAGTTGCTTAACATCTACGTGCCGGCTCAGGTGGAATACCTAATCCAGGCCTGGTAGCTCAGACACAAGCAAGATCTTGTAGCCCTCGATACTCCACAGTGACGAGCCACGAAGCACGTCAAAGGATTGTTCAATCTTCTTTATCAACTTAGACTGAGGACCCTAAAATTGCACATCGGTCGGTATCTGCACCTACGTGGCGACCTCATTATGGCTTGCCAGATACTATGGAACCCAACCACGTCTGCCGCCACCTACTACAACTGAAACAAAACACAAATTTGTGGGGCCATCAGTTCAAGTTAGCTACGCAATACAGTCGGCTAGAATGTCGACGGCAATTTTACTCTCTTCATTTGTGTCAGCCATGGAACGCGCTCCCAAATTACATTGTTGTCGCCACCAGTTTACCTGTGTTTAACAAACGCCTTGACGTTGCCCTAACCCATCTACATTACGAGATATAACCTGTGTGTCTCGACAGATGATATAATGCGGTGAAAGTTGTACAACCAGAATTAACCTACACAACTGAGTTTAGCGCTTCCCGCATGCCTCTAGATGAATACTGTGGTGAGTCTAACAAAACCAATTTTCATTTTATCACCTTGTTTTCTATTCACCAGGTTGTTGTTCTCATTCTGGCAATCCTACCGGACTTGATATGCATCCGCTTTTATTTGTCCGTAATATACCATCGTTCTATCTTCCCATTGTCTTCATTCCGGGTGACTAAAAGTGCAACCGAAATCAAGGATAATAGAAGCAGGAAAGTTGGTTACCCAGGCTTTAACAAACAGACCAATTCTGTTCCTCCTGTGATTTACAAATTTTGGACCAGACGTTCAAGTGTTATTTTGTGTCCAGAGCACATTTGTATCGACTGCCCCGACATCGTCTTTCGTAATGGATCTGAATGGATACGTTTACTAAGTGGTCCTCAGTCAGGTTCGGTTAATAGTGAATCCGGAGCGTCCGCATCGGCGCACTCAGTAAAGTGCATCTCACAGAGTGGTTTAGTGGAGCGCTTACACCATATTCATAATTCAGTTTCAAATTATTCGACCGTGTCAGTAAATCGAGGCATCAGATATCTCAGATGGCTTGGTAGGAAATTGGCGCATTGTAATCCGAGGATGTCAGCGCACTTGCTCTTATACTGTCAACTGGGGACTAACCTGTCACACATGCTGAAACAAAAGTGGTAAGGAAACCCAATGCGTTCAGTTACTGTGGTGTTCGCCGAGCTGGGAAATCAAGTTGTCCAGCTCGGGTCTTCTAAATATAAAGCCACTATCACTCCATACATGAATGACGAATAATAATCCACATCGATCGAACACATTGTTAGCTTTAACTCACGTCTAGGTATTCATCTGGAAGTCGAGCTGTGTAGCAGTATGTGTAGCGTTGGCATCCATACAGACAGTAGTCTCGGAGAATACCATCGGGAGATCTGATTCGTAGATGCCGATCTGACACACAATGTCTGCGCAAAAACGGTTGACGGATGATAAATAAAGAAGTTATGAACCGAGATCTAATCGGCTGTTTCAGGAACAACCAGGGTGAAAGGTATGCACATCTTTAGCAATGCAATAATATTTCTTTCTGGGGATTTGGTAAAACGGAAGCAAGATGCTCGCCTATAATTAACTAAGATGCCGCATTGTCAAGAAAGGTGGCTAAGCCAACTTCCGTTATACTCCTGTAAGGAAACTAGGTAATGGACCAATAAGATAGGATGGGGCGTGCATGTGTGAAATTGCTAAGGACACTGTGTCCAGGAACTACAATGGGCACCTCCGGGACTTCCTGTGTTCATCATAGCGTTTACTGCTAGCTGCTGTTTAGTACACCTCGCACACTAAAGAAAATCGCCCTTCCTCCTCAGCCCAAGTCTCTATGGGTTTTTTATATCACCCGCTCCCTCAAAGTTTTCCGGGAAGAGCAATTATTGTTTTGATTTAAGAAGAAATGTTTGGTGGCTGCTATTGTTGAGAGAATTATAAGCAATGTAGCAATATTGGCTAAAGATACCTTTGACTTGGTAAGGAGCCAGTCGTCATTGTACTACAGCACAATAGCTGAGGCTTTTGCAATTCATACGTAGCGTTAGAATAATGATGACAAATATGGCAACATATCCATGCTGACAAATATCAAGCGTTAGATCCAAGGGTATGGATTCCTACTGTACTGTTTCAATAGACAAAACATCTGGGAGTTTGCGAAATCAATTTAACGATGGACAACGCAGATCTCACTTACAAACGACCCTGCGCACAGCGTACCACCTACATAAGCCTTGTCGAAGTCAGCATACACATAGGCTCCGTCGGCCCGCTCCAACGCTGTTTGCCGAATTCGAACAGCAGCATATGTGGACGTAAGTAAAGAGCGTCTTCAGATTATTCGAGGCTCTATCAGCCAGCTAATATTCCTAAAACACCCGAGCTTACCTGAAATGCTGCTTTCACCAACTTTTCGTCTTGAGGTACCCATCAAAGGAGATGGTTGGTGTAGTGACTTGGTAGGTCCTTCAGAGTCTAGAACATCATGAGAGCAGATAACCGCCAGTGGTATACATACTGCATTACTGTGCTTGTCTAGTTTCTCTTCGTGAGTAAGTAGTTGGGGGCAAACACGTCCGTGCGGTAAGACTAAAACCTATGCCTCTTGAACCGTATCGGTCACCGAGATCTCTCAATGTAGGCCTGAGGCCTTGGTTCGCATTACCTGTTAGTTTGTACGCCGTATATTTAGCTAGATATGGCCGAAAGACTTTAGGTCTACTGAAAAGTTTTGCGTGCTTAAGAAAATGATAATGGTTTATTTGCCAAGTGACAGAGTGAAAAGCATTCTATATATTCAACCTGGTGGTGAAAAGCTGTAAGAAGAAGGGCCGGATCCTGTATGATACTGGGAACATCGACTGGAAATTTGTTACGAGTGCACCAGCGTAATCTTGATCATATGGTCTGTGGTGTTACAACTGCCTCATATGCTACTATCTAACGCAAACTCTTGATGCAGTTTTACTCCATTCAAGCTTAATTCCTGATAACTCACTTCTGATGTAAAATCGAGAGCAAAACTTATTTCCTAGTATGGCAAGTGGAGCTATATGGAGAAAGCTCCTCTCAAATTGCCTAATGCGTAATATTTGTTCTGCGATTCTCTTCCCTACATTTATTCTATAATAATAACCATTTCAACTTTCTTCCTGAGTTAACAGTTTAGATACACATGTCGAATTTCGGTGATTGGCGATATCGGATTCCCAATCGTACCAATATCTGCCACCAATAATGGCCCTGCACATATGTTTTAGTACATTCTTGCGTTTGCATAATTCAGGCAGTCATCTGCCTTCGGCTGTCACGCCGGAAATGCTATCCTATGATCTGTCGATCCTTTATGCTCTGTCGTAAGGCATACTATTCGCTTATTTTGGCATTACGGTCATTGCACTTATTATATTTAATTT